TGATGGGGTGAGAGTGTGTATGAACGGGTGAGTGTGTGTCTTTGTGATGGGGTGAGAGTGTGTATGAACGGGTGAGTGTGTATGAACGGGTGAGAGTGTGTATGAGTGACGGGGTCAGACACGCCATGTGCACAGGACACTGTGGGCACGGGGAACAGCCACAAGCTGAAAAACAAGACCTCCGTGTCGGGGGGGAAGCGGCGAGGGTAGTAACCCACCCGTCTCACTCTCTCCGCGCCACAGCGAACTCCTCCCAGCAGCCCGGCACCCCCCTGCGCTGGCTGAGCGACATGGACCAGGCCTTCCTCCAGCAGGGCATGGAGCTGTCGGCCGACGGCCGCGAGCTGCTGGTGCCCCGCGCCGGCCTCTACTTCCTGTACGCCCAGGCCACCTTCTCCTCCTCCTCCTCCTCCCCGGGGGCGGGGGGCCCCTGCGGGGGCCGGCCGGAGCCGCTGTCCCTGCAGGTGGAGCGCCACAGCCCCTCGTACCCGGACTTCGTGCCCCTGCTGAGTGCGGCGCGCTCGCCCTGCCCGCCGGGCGGGCCGGGCCGGTTCTGGACGGTGCCCCTGTACCAGGCGGCGCTCTTCAAGCTGCTGGGGGGCGACAGGCTGCGGGTGACCGCGGGGCCCCTCGGCCTGCTGGACGACCAGAAGACCTTCCTGGGGGCCTTCGCCGTGGCCCCCGAGCTGCAGTAGAGGGGGGGGGGGCGCCACCCGCCGGAGGAGGAGGAGGAGGAGGAGGGCCTGCGCCCCGAAAATTCTCCCTGACCCACTTTCAGGTCCGAGCACTTCGGCGCGGTCTTCCTCCTCCTCCTCCTCCTGACGAAGAACCCCCCCCCCCCGTCCCCCTCCAGGGGGAACACTACCCCTGCGCCGCAGGAAGTGATGTCACGCCCTGCCCCACGAGCCCCAGCTAAGGAAGCGATCGGGCTCCGTCAGGGCACCTGTTTCATATTGAAATGTCGCAGAACCCGTTTTACATTAAAAGCAGAGCTCGAGAAGCACCACCCGGGTGCAAATGAGCATTTAGCGTACGGGGATAAAAACCCGGTTTCCGGATGACCTGATCAGTATTTTATGACTTATTTATTGATTCGTCTGGCCGCACGACAGCGCCCGGTTGGGAAACAAAAGAAGGAATGAATGTATTTTTTTTTTTTGGACAAGTGGAAATGGAAATTATTTATTGGTGTTATTTATTGACCTTTTTGGTTTTTTTAAATGCTATTTTCCGGCCCAATAAAGTGAAATCTATTTATATTTTTCGGCCCGAAGTCTGTGGTGGTTTGGTCTCTGTGGCGCGCCTCTTGGTCGCTAAATACGCACTGCTGTGTAAGTCGAAAACTCTACTTAGTGAAGCTAAGTCTGGCTGAGACGACACAAGACCTGTCACAAACAAGAGGTGGCTCTAACACCTGTGACTGGACACTCCAGTACATGAACACTGCACTGAGAGAGAGAGAGGGGTTCATACAGACACACTGACTGGACACTCCAGTACATGAACACTGCACTGAGAGAGAGAGGGGTTCATT